ATTGGATGAGATACCCATCGTCGAACAGGTAAGTGTCCAACCCCTGGGCTGGCCTCACGCTACTTGCATCGATTGCATCGATAGATGAGCAAAACTGAATGAATTTTGCGCCAGGACATGGAAATATACCTACTACACGTGAAAAATGCCTCCCTGACCGTATGCACGGAAACCTTGCCGGGCTGATAGCGGTATGCATTGCGCAGAGCCTTCCTGACTACTCCCCAGCAGGCGTCCCCGACGAAACCATTGCTTTTCATCTGGGTTACCACCTTGTTGATTTCCCTGGCCGCGTCGTCCGATTCGGAGCATAGCAACAGGGTCTGTGCGACCTGGGCAGTGATGATCTGCAATGCTAGCTTGGCACTCCTGTTTGACTTGTACTTCATGAATTTGTGTGGAGCAAACCCGAGTCCTTCTCGCTTGTCATGCCTGGAAGTGATGTACGCGGCTGTTTCTGGAGAGGTGATCTCGATGGTCATGCTGAGAAAATTGGCCCTTCGGCCACACCCTTCCACGATGAGTTCGGTATTTTCTTTGACCTCAATGTACTCGCTAGGGTAGATTCAACAGGGGTCGTCTGCGTTCCTGTCCTCCTTCTTCCGCATGAAATCCTTAATGATGGTATTGTTGACGGCGCCCAAGTCGTCAATATACCTGAAGGTATCCGAAAAGCACGGGATCAAGTGCACATTCCCGGTGTCCGCCAGCCTCATCATCGCATGATACTCGTATTTGAAAAAATATATGTCGCACCATATCGGGGAGCAGGCCAGGCCCATGGGGATGCCCCTGACCTGTCTCCACACATAGTTTCCCATGCGGAGCACGCTGTTGGCAATACACCACTCCGTGAGCCAGCAGACATCCTTCTCCGTGAACACCAGTGAATCTATCCCCCCCGCTTGATCACCATCCACCCAGGCGGGCCAGAATTTGCCGTCGTCCCCCACCCTGACCTGGATGATGTGGGTCGAGCTTCTCTCCCTTCGCACCCTCATCGCACATTCCACATAGAACCTCACGGCCGCTGGCAGGCTGTCCTCCGAGCAATCCGTGGGGATAGCTTCGAAACACCTGGTGATGTCGGCCGTGAAGACAGAGAAGACCTTCTCCGGCAGGTTTGCACAGAATTATCCCACCGAGGCTACCGACCACCATAGGTTCGGCCTTACGCCGAACCGCTCCTCCACTTCGAAGCTCCTTTCTTGACAGAACGTCTGCACCAAGGGAAGAAGAAACCGCAACAAACATGCACAGAGGTCCGCTGCTGGAGAGACAATTGTCCCGGTCGTGTTCGTGATCCAGCGGAACGTGTCTTTATGAGCCTTGAAAACTGTCATCAGGTAGGGGAGTGCTGGTGGTGCCGTTGGTAGCGCCGTTATGGCTGAGAGCTCGCCTTGTATGCGGGCGATAACGGAAGTGGGGGGAGCGACGATGCTGACAAACTCAGGTCCGGATAACCTCTGAAATGCGAGCTTTCGAATGAAGTTCTTGCAGACGAAAGTTGGGGTGCTCGGAGCCTTGTCCGTTGGACAGATGAGGAATTGGCTGGTGAGGAACTCCAGTTCTCGCTTCACTGCTGGATGTTCGAATGGTTCCGTGATCGCATGTCTGTGCTGCTCCTTATATTTCGTCATTCTCGTCCTTGCCTTCTTTAGGATTATTCTGCGCAGAAATGCTTGCGTGGACGCTGTGAGCTCCCTTAGCTCTAGTACTGCCATCATGAGTTTGTCCAAAAACTCGGCCACCTCGCCCTCCGCTTCGTCCACGTCCAGGGTCATACAGGGGATATGGTTCAGTCCCGAATTGATGATGCCTTGCAGAAGAGCATTGTCCGTAATCGAGGAGTCCAGCGTGATTACGTGTGTATGCCCTTCGCACCGGAGTAGGTCGATTGAAGCATTGCTGCGCATGTCCGTGTATCTGCACGATCTGCATGGGCACTGTTCGGGATCATAGACCTCCATCCACTCTGTCACATCGAAATCACAGAATACCTCCGCAGGCCTGCACAGCTTCGAGGCGATACTTCTGTTGTAGGTCCAGCCGATCACGGTACGCTCCAACCATGTCGTCGTTTCATCACCGATTATCCTTGCCAAAACTTCATTGATGATCTTTCTGATGGCGAGCGACTCCATTACCCTGCTCGTGTATCTCAGGTGCAGGAATGTATCGCAGTCCGATCGCTGTCTCTTCCAAGATCTTCGTCCGGTTGGCAGTGTGATCATTTGTCCTGAGGTGTTGACGCTCGTACTTGGATCCTGCGTTTGAATGTCACAATCACCGTACAGGGGGAGTGCCGGAGGGGATAGTGAATCGTAGGAAAAAAATTGGGGAGGAAAACGGGAGGGGAAAAAGAAGAAGAAGAGTGTGATCGAAAGTTAAGGAGAGGGGGAGGAAGAAGAAGGAAAAAAAGGGGAAGAAAAAGGAAAAAAGAAAAAAGAAGGAAGAAGAAGAAGAAGAAGAAGAAGAAGAAGAAGAAGATGGTTGTTCGTCTTCTTCTTCCCTCGGTGGATTATGCACGTGCCTTCTGCATGTTGGTGGCGGCACCCGTGCGCGCATTGCCCTTGCCTCTCGCACCTTTTTTCTTGCCCCTGCTCGTTCTCGTCAACGTCGATTGCGCCGATCCCTCCGGTGAGATGAGGACGACGGGTGGTGGAGTCAATCCCCTTATCACCATTGCTGGTTGCTGCGCCAGAGGGGGGGTAAGGGCCTGGGGGGCCATCGTGCGTAGCGGCGCAGAAATTGGGTTTGCGATATGGAGAGCGCGCAAGTGATTTCCAGCAGCGGTCTGCTGCATCCCGGTGACCACCACTACGCCAGCATCAGATCCCTGATGAAGTGAAATCCGATAACAGCGAGCACCCCTTCCTTCCATGTGGTCCTAAGGTAATGGATCAGCATCGAGGTTCTGATCTTTATCGAGGACATCTCTGGGAATAATACATCCGGGTGTGCAAGAAGGTACCACAGGGCATGGTCGAACCATAGCGGGGTGTCACCGCAGTCCCTGTTCCTCTCCTTCTTACATTTGCACTTAAGATATGGTCTCACTACGCTCCAGATCTTCCTTATACTTCTGAGATCTAACTTGTCCGGCTGCCTGATCGCCTTCTGCCATATCCCCGAACTCGTCTCGCCGCACTTGTCTAAGTCGAATGCGCGCATGGATGGGAACTTAAGGTCCTGGGGATCTAATGGGGGGACCCGCCCAGAGAACTTCAGCTTACTTTTGAAGATTTGCGTCCTGCACTCCTTTACCTGGGTATCCGTGATATTACCTAAGAACTGGAGTGCCCTGATGGAGATCGGTGCAACGTGGTTAAACGTCTCCATCTTCCAGATTGCATGTCTGAATCCAGTGGACGTGTGCTCCACCCAGTAGGTGGAAGCCACGGGGGCGAATACTGTGTACCTGTCCCGTTCCGAGGCGTTGTTGGTTGTCGGGCTGTCCGTAAGGGGGGAGCTCCTTATGGTATTTGCGATGGCTGCGATGGCTCGTTCCATTTCCTCCCTCTCCTCTGCCTCAATCGTGAGATCATCACATCTCGTGGTCCGACCACCTTCCGTGGTAGGTGGTACTGTCCCATGGGTTTCGGGGACTCGCCCTTCTAAGTGTGAGTCATCCACCCCCCAAATTTTGAGGAGGATTTGCTCAATCTTCGCGGATCTCCCCGCCAGTTCTCTGCACTCTTTGTCATACTCCTGCTTCCTCAGTTCTAGCCGCTCACACATCGCACCCAACTCATCATCAAACTCCTGCCTACTACGCTCCCAGGCTCCGGCAAGAACGGCAACGTCGCTGAAGCACAGCATCTGGAAGAAATGGGGGAATCGCCCAGTGTCCCAGGCGTTCTTTATCGCATCCATGACTCCAGGATTTACGCAGGTCATTAAAGCCTGTGTAGGTTTCGCGGGCCAGGCACATCCTTTTAGCCATGGGAAGTGATGTGTCAGTTCGTTCCACCATCCTCCCGGGGATGATTCCCTGGGGGGGCCTTGTGCCTACGGGGTGAGAAAAGGAACCGAAACGAAGAGGATCAAAAAGTTGGGTCAAGGCAGAAGAGCACCGGCAGAGTCAGTCAGAACGGGGGGGGGGGTGTCCAGAAGGGAAAGTGTGCGTGAAGAGGGGGAAAAAAGG